GCCAGATCGGGCAAAGTGCCATGGCCCCGGTCAAAATTTCTGCACGGGCATGTATCGTGAGCTTTATGATTTTTACGTTATTTTTCAATGCAATTTCTTTTACAGTCTAGTTCTTGAAAAATTACTGTTTTGACACTTCATCCCAGTTTTACCGAACTAAATTCAGTAAAATTTCAGGAATAAATTTTCTCCGTGTACAGGTTTAACCAGAAGGTTGTTTCAAAAGGGGACTCTCGATAAACTTGCAGTTAACAGAACAAAAACAAAAATTAATTCTCAAAACTAAACGCCGTGGAATGTTGAAAAATTGACTAATGATTATTTCTTAATTAATTCACAATTTTCCCCTCGAGATATAATTAATAATTCCTCATTATACTTTATGTCACATAATTGCTATTATAACATTTCAAATGTATATTTATTATTTTAACATCAATTTCATGAATGATATGACAAGAAATCTTCCTCTCCCTTTTTTGGGAATTATTTTTTTTCCGCCTCCCAAGAACAAAGTCATTAAGAGAGAGAAACAAAAAACAGAAAAGGAGAGAAGAAGAAAGGAAAACAAGAGACAAGTGTCCGGAGAGATCTTGATTTTTTTTATAAGGCGCCACCCTTGGTGTTCGGTTGCCATCATCATCATCATCATCGCATGTAGTGGGTATTATACTCTCGAGTGTGGAATTCAAAGTCAACTCGAAGAAATTCAGTCACCATTTATTATGTACTCTTCGCACGATTGAAACGACCGAGAGTCGTCGAGTCGAATAATATACAGACCAAAGTTGTTTAAAACACGAAAAAGAAAAAAAGGCAACGACAAATCATGTCTTGCATTCACATTGTGTGCCTATAGATTTATTAATCCTCTATCGATGAAAGGGATGAGGAATATCCGAAAAAATTGCCAAATTAAATTATTACCCAGTGGAGAAAAAAATACCTTTCAAATTACATTGTTAGGGAGTTTGCTCGAGTTATCTGCAATGAGTTTTATTATTTATGAAAATAATGTAATATCTAAAAAGAATTTTATTATTTACAAAAATAATTGAATCCCTGTAAAAATTTTATTATTTATGAAAATAATTGAATGACTGCGAAGAAATTTAAAAAAAAATTGTAAATCATGAAATTCCTGTGAAATATTTATTATTTTTCATAACTATAAAACATGAAGATATCGATAACTCCGAGTCTTCGACTCGGAGTGATCGATTTCTTCATGTTTTATAATAATTACAGATGACCGAGTGATAAAATCATTTACAATTCAATTATTATCTACAAGAATTATAAGCTAAAATTTCTCTTAAAATCGATTATTTTTAATAATTTCGAAAAAGTTCTTTGACAATTTTCAAATATATTTCTTTATAATATTCAATTTTACGAAATTTCAATTATTCGTAAATTCTTCAATTAAATAAATATTAGAAAACAAAAACTTAAAATAATATGAAAAAAATTCAATTAAACTTTTTCCAAAAAATTAATTTCAAAATTCAATTATTTTTAAAAATTCACGCCAAATTGCTTTTAATATTCAATTATTATTTATCTAAAATTTTAACTGAAATTAATTTTTAAATCAATTTTTATTAGAAAATCCTACTAGAATTCAATTATTTAAATACAAATAAAATGCAAATAAATAATTTATTGAATAATTGAATGTTTCTTAAAATTCAATTCCCATAAAGAATCGTTATTAAAAAATTTTCAAATAATTGAATTCTATTAACGAATTTTAAGAAAATTTTTAAAAATAATTACATTTTTCGAGAAATTCGATTAAAATTGTATTAAATATAATTAATGACATTATTCTTCGGCAACATGACATTATTCTTCCATTGAAATTGCTATACAATTTTTTTTGTAATTTAGATTATATTTTATATTCTTTAATCTAGTTACCCATGTATGGTCCATTATAGGGACTGCGGGACCAATGTTAAATAAATAAATAAATAAATAAATTAAAATTCTGCAATGAGTTTTATTATTTGTGAACATAAATGAACCCCTAAGAAGAATTTTATTACTTTTGAACAATATTTAATTTTTGCGAAGAATATTATTACTCTTGAAAATAAATGAATTTTTGCAATAATTTGTAACTTTTACAAAATTGAATTTTTTTAGTGTTTTTAACTAAACATCTTCTATAAATCCATTATTTTTAATAATTTTTGAAAAAGTTCTTTAAGAATTTTTATTTTTATTTGTTTACTATTCAATTTTACGAAAATTGAATTATTCGTAAATTCTTCAATTAAATATATATTAGAAAATAAAAACTTTAAATAATTTCAAAAAAAAATCCGCACTTAAAGTTTCTCAAAAAAAATTAATTCCACAGAATTGTTAGTTAAAAATATTAAAATGCTTTTAAAATTCAATTATAATGTAAAATTTTACCTGAAATCCATTTTTAAATCAATGTTAATGAGAAAATTCTAGGTACTAAAATTCAACTATTTAAATACAAAAATAACAAATTATTGAGTAATTGCATGTTTCTTAAAATTAAATTCTTAAATTTAATTAATTAATTTAATATCATTTATCAACAAATTTTTAAGTACCTAATTGAATTTTTCAACGAATTTTAATAAAATTTTCAAAAATTATTACATTTTTCGAGGCATTCGGTTAAAATTGTAGGTATTAAAAATTAATAAAATTCTATATGAGTTATTATTCATGAAAATAATTGAATTTCTGTAAAAAAAATTATTATTTATGAAAATAATTGAATTATTGCGAAGAAAATAAAAAAATTTGTAAATAGTTAAATTCCTGTGAAATTTTTATTATATATGAACATAATTTATTATTGGCTTAGAATTTTAAAAACATTTTTGAAAATAATTGAATTTTGATGAAGAATTTTATTATTTTTAAATCATTAAAAAAATCTCATAAAGAATTTTATCTATAAATTTTTAAATAACTGAATTCTTTTGACGAATTTTAATAGAATTTTAAAGAATTTTTTCGAGGAATTCGATTAAAATTGTATCAAAAATAATTGAAATTCTCCAAGGTGTTGTATTATTTATGAAAATAATTGAATTTCAAAAAAGAATTTTATTATTTATGCAAATAATTGAATCCCCGTAAAAATTTCATTATTTATGAAAATAATTGAATGATTGCGAAGAAATTTATAACAAAATTTGTAAATAATGAAATTCCTGTGAAATTTTTATTATTTTTTGAAAATAATTAAAAGTTTGTGTAGAATTTAATTAATTTTTTTTTAAAAATAATTGAATTCTTTTGGAAAATTTTTATGAAAATAGCCTAGATATTGAAAATCATTGAATTGAGGAAATTTTTTGAAAATAATTGAATTTTTGAATTTTGGAACATAATTGAATTTCTGCGAAGAATTTTATTACTTTTGAGAATAATTGAATTTCTCCAATCATTTGTAATTTCTCTAAAATTCTCCAAATTATATTGTATAATTTACGAACTTTTCATCCTTTTTTAATCAAATTACGGACTTTACGGACCTTTTTTTTTAAAAAACGGACTTTTACGGACTTCAAGCAAATGTTACGGACTTTTACGAGATTTACGGACCTAGTTCGAGCCCTGTAATATTTACTGGTAAACAAATATTTATCACTAAATAAATATTCATCAGTAAATAAAAATTTACCGTGTAAATAAAAAATCTACTCTTAATGTTTTATATAATACCTTCAGCGAACATGATTGATTGATAGTTTCTCGTAATTTGCATTTAACAAATATTCGCTGAAATAGAGCCATAAGTAATAACGACATACAAAAAAAATGAGAAATTGAAAAATTAGGAAGTAATTTAAATTAATTTATTAGTCCACAGAATAATTTTGTATTAAGAGGAAAAATTGAATATTCAATATATATAGAGAACTTACGTTTATATTCTAACATTGGCTAATGCGGCTAATTATACGATATTAATAGCACTCTTAAGAAACTCTTAAGAAGCAAAGTGTGTTTTTGCAAGTATATTTATTACAGGAAATAGACACTATATTTGTTTCATAAATCGTTACAAGAAATTTTTTTTTCTTCCTTTCTTTTTTTTATAAGCAAGGGATATTCTTGTTATATTTATATATGTGTATATATGTGTGTGTATAGAAGTTACATGTTCTAGCTTTAGTGAGCAGGGGATAATCTTAGAAACTGGCGATCGTGCCAGCTCGATCATCCTTGATCTCAATATCAAAGGAACCCGATGCCGATGTACAGCGTTTGAGTGCGTATACAGTCATGCTGTTTTTAATTTGTTGAATTCGATCGATGCAACTCTCAAACGATGACGACAACGACGAGGACGATGACGATCGTCACTCGTTATATCCACAGGTTGCTTATATAGATCAAGCAGAACACACATACACATTTGCTTTGATGATTTATTACTCTTTTTATAAATATAAAAAATCAGAAATGCGCAGAAACTTCTGAAAATTTAATTATCGTCAACTGGGGACATTGTTGACAGAAAAAGCCATTTTTGAACTCTACTCTTTACTGAAATTGAAACTAAAAACAAAGTCAACTATTAGGTTTCGTTATGGACAAAACTTTAAAGGTTTCCTATGTTTTAATCAGAAAAAAAAATTTGGCGAAATAGTACCTAAAATTCGACTCCCAACGGAATTATAATCTTACTATTTTCGAGTTGAATTTACGAAAAGAATAGAATATTGTAAGATTAAAGTTAATTCAAAAGACAAGTCAATATCAAACTTCAAAAATAAAACAATAGCTTTAAAAAAATTTGTATGAAGATAATTACTCCAACTTTATATAATTATTTGCAGTTATTTTTTAAGTAATAAAAAAATTACATGAAAATAGAAAATATTTTTTTCATTTTCAACACGCAAGTTTAAATCAGTTTAAAATTTTACGACTCTTAGAACTATTATTTTTTATCAATTTAGAAATACTTTTCATAAACTATGCATATATCAGAGGAAGAATTACGACATACAAAAACTCGTTACATCGTAAAAAAAATAATTTATCAAGAAAATATTTAAAATCCAATACTGAAAAATAAAAAAATGCATGAAAAACCAGTAGAAAAAAGACAACTTCATGAAAAGGTAAGAATTTCTTAATATTTTGTTTTCTTTTAACCCTAGAACGAAAATATGATTCTTTAACCCTCTAACGGAAAATATATTGAAATGTCTTACCTGTACCTTAAACATTCTATAAATTTAAACACATTAATTTACAATTTATTTTGTTATTAATTTGTTTAATTGAACTAAAAAAGCAATTACAAATAAAAACAAAATATTTAAGTTCTTATAAGTATATAATTATTTAATATTTTCTCCTGAATGTTTTGTAACATTACTATTATTTTAAAAATATTTTATTCTTTCTGTTTAACATAATAAACACTTTGCAGAAAGAAGAGTAATCAATAAATAAATTAGTGAATCAGTAAAAAAATAAATTAACATCAATAACACAACTCGTACAAATATTCAAGTACCAATTTATATTGAATTGCGAAAATTGTTATATTACTCAATAACAATGAAAACAATTACTATCCTTGGTTATATTACAACAATTATTCTCGTTGCACTATCATTAATTGAATCTAAAAGAATATCAGCATTTGAGCGAATAAATGATTTTGTAGAATTACAATCTCTGAAATACAGCCTTATTGATGAGTACCTTCATAATTTTGAAACTGAAGTAGCATTTAAACTTTTAAGTGCATATGTTCTTGACGAAATTGAATTGGAATCATTTTCTTTACATTTAAATTCAACTGGAATGCTACCAGACTGGAGCATGACGCACAAACTGAAAAATCCAAAATTATATGAATTATTACGATACGATACTTCTGTCGAATTAATTCCTCCAAGTAGAAACAAAGCTATTAAAGATGCAACAAATCTTAAAATGACAGTCTTTCAATATTCACCTAAAGTTTTAGTTGAGGAATTATGTGATGTTTATATAGAAGAAAAATTGGATGAACTAATTTCATTGGAGGATTACTATGCTATTAGGGTTTTAAAAAGAGATGATCGTCAAATTAAAATGGAAAACCCAGTAAGTTGGAGAATGAGAAGAGCATTATACAGTTTGGCTATTCGACAATACAGGCCTAATTTAATTTCCAGTTTTTTACCAATACATTGTTTTCATAGAAGATTCTCCAACAGGAGTCGATTATTTAACATGAAAGTGAATGATTCTTTTCGACTTACTCGCTTCTTGCTTTGCACCGATAAATACATATTAGAAGAATCACTAACGAGTTCTTCTGCTTATGACCATACCTCTTCTTCTCATTGGATATCTTTCGAAATTGTAATTACTGATCCTAGGTTGGTAGTAAATTTAAATGAAATCCTTAAATCTGATGATCGGAATGCTTATTGTTTATTTCCTACATTGTTATTGAAGGCATTGAGTGATTCAGAAGATCGAAACACATCCTACGGATTGATATCATTTATAAAAGTGCAAACTGTACCAACTGAATCTAGATCCGAATTTCTTACTGCTATGGCGAATAATATCGAGGATTACAAAATGAAGGAAAGAGAATACTTTAACAACAACCCTGCGCCAATAATTAATAGTGATGAAAGTGAGTAACGTATATACAAGATTTTGAAACAAAATATTATATAAAGCAGAGCAAGCGAGGATTTTTCTTATGTTTGACAAATATAATTAATCGAAATATTGTCAGTTAACTTGTTATGTATATGTGCGAAAAATAATAAATACCTAACAACATAAATATATCAACTTTTACATTTAACTTCTATTACTATTTACATTCTAAATTTTTTTTAACTTCTAATCGATTTCTCAAGTGAATGAAAAAAAAAATCTCACGAAAAAACATGGAAAACAAATGAATACCAAAGTTCTGTTTTTTTACATGAAAGGAAAAGTTGTCGAATGGCACAGCAAGGAATTATAAATTATTATAATATCTGCCTAATTTGTGTACCAAACTTATCGTGCTTTAAGATCATTGTTTAAAAAATTTTCCATACCTTTGGAAAATGGAAAAACATTATTTTTACGCTTATTATTTTTTAAATTTAAGGAAATTGAAAAATTTACGAAGCTTAGAGAGATTATTTGTTATCAATTTAAAAGTATTTTGCATAAATGCATATCATACACTACATGCAAAGATTAAAATTATATCTTAAATAAAAAAGTAAATAAAAAAAATTTTAAAAATAAATAATATTAAATTTTTTAATAATAAAAAACAATAAATGAAAATCGTAAATATATTGCAGTATTAGAAATTCGAAACAAATTTGAAATATTACATTTGTTAGGAAGATAATTTTTTATGAGTAGTGAGTAATATTGAGAATTTTTGTCATGAACTACATATCAGTAGAAGGAGGACAACTTCATCAAATAGTAAGAATTTCTAAAAATTTTGCATTTTTTAAAAATGTTATTTAAATTTTTTTTTATATTTAATAATATTACAAAATCTATTAAAGCTAATTTATAAAATAATTACGATACGTGTCTCACATGTACCTAAAAGACTGTGTAATGAAGCACAGTGATTGATAATTTTTATTGTCATTAATTTGTTTGAATTGAACTAAAAAAAACTTATACAAATAAAAAAAAATAATTGAAACACTTTTACGTTTATAATTATTTTAATATTTCAATTTGAATGTTATGTAACATGACTATTATTGTAAATATATTTAATTTTTTTTTGTTTTACGTTATGAACACTTTGCAGAAAGAAGAGTAATCAATAAATAAATTAGTGAATCAGTAAAAAAATAAATTAACATCAATAACACAACTCGTATAAATATTCAAGTACCAATTTATATTGAATTGCGAAAATTGTTATATTACTCAATAACAATGAAAACAATTACCATCCTTGGTTATATTACAACAATTATTCTGGTTGCACTATCATTAATTGAATCTAGAAGAATATCAGCATTTGAGCGAGTAAATGATTTTGTAGAATTACAATCTCTGAAATACAGCCTTATTGATGAGTACCTTCATAATTTTGAAACTGAAGTAGCATTTAATCTTTTAAGTGCATATGTTCTTGACGAGATTGAATTAGAAGCATTTTCTATACATTTAAATTTAACTGGAAAGCTACCACAGTGGAGCATGACACGTAAACTGATGAATCCGAAATTTTATGAATTATTGCGATACGATACTTCCGTGGAATTAATTCCTCTAAGTAGAAACAAAGCTATTAAACATGCAACATATCTGAAAATGACAATCTTTCAAAATTCACCTGATGTTTTAGTTGAAGAATTGTGTGATGTTTTTATAAAAGAAAAGTTGGATGAACTAATTTCATTGGAGAATTACTATGCTATTAGGGTCTTAATAAAAGATCCTCAACAAATTAAATTGGAAAACCCTGTAGGTTGGAGAATAAGAAGAGCATTATACACTTTTGCTATTCGACAGTTCAGTCCTAATTTAATTTCTAGTTTTTCACCAATAAGTTGTTTTCATAATAGATTTTCCAACACGAGGCAGTTTGCTAACTTTAAAAATAATAAATTTTATCCACTCACTCACTTCATATTTTGCAACGAGGAAAACATATTAGAAGAATCACAATCGAGTTTTTTCGTTAATGATCGTAACTCTTCTCATCATTATGTATATTTCGAAATTGTGATTACTGATCCCAGGTTGATATTAAATTTCAATGAATTCACGAAAATTGATCGAAAGGTTCATTGTTTATTTCCTAAATTGATAATGAAGGCATTAAGTGATTCAGTAGATCGAAACACACCCTACGGATTAATAACATTTGTAAAAATAGTAACTGAACCAATTCAATCTAATTCCAAATGGCTTACTGAAATAGCGAATAATATCGAGGATTACAAAATGAAGGAAAGAGAATACTTTAACGACAACCCCGCGCCAATAATTAATGGTGATGAAAGTGAGTAACGTCGTATACAAAATTTTGAAACGAAATAAATAAAAATAACCTGCTTCTTTTTGTATCTTATCTAAGTCGTTTAAAAGCATAGCAGGTTATTTTTTCTTTTGTTAAAAAAAATATCATGCGGAATATTGTCACTTAAGTTATTATGTACATGTGCATAAAATAATAAATAACAAATATTATATTCAACTTTAAGTTTTGTTTATTTTAAAAGACAATTCATGGTAATTTCGTTGTTAAGTAAACTTTCTATGTTTCTTGAATTCACTAAGGGTAAGTAGAATCCGTTTTTGTTAGATGAGAATATTTTTTATTGCAGTGTTAATTTTAGAGGTACAAAACTATTCTAATTGATGACAAAATTTCATATCTAATTTTATTTTAGTTTCTGTAGTAAAAATTCCTAATTAATAGTATACCTGTTTTAGTCAGACGACAATATTTGATGCTATTTGAAGATTAGTATTAAAATAACGATCGAAAAACAATTTCATAGGAAATGTAAAACAGTTTCTTTCTCAATAAATTTTCAGATAGGTAACAATTTCACAAGGATAATGATATGTGCCATTTTTATTATTAACGTGTTGTCTCAAAACAATAGAAAGTTTATGCTGTTGGGAGGTTTCTGACCATTAGCCGAAGAAATTACAGTGCCACCGTAAATATTACAATGTCGGTATAAATTATGCTTCTCTATTTACTATATACATATATATGTATTATACATATTTATAGTAAACAATATATATATATAATTGTAATATACACCGTGAAATACACTACTAGCAATTTATGCCATACGCACTCCTATATCATATAACAATAATTTCTGATATTTATCCATTTTCCCGATAATTGCTTCATACAGTTCCTTTATGTTCAATATAATAATAGAAAAAAGAAAATAAAAATCGGTCGCTAAAAAGAAAAAAAGAAACGTATAGATTCTAATATTGATAATTCACTCTCTAATATGTATTTCAAATTGCAGTGTATTGATTTATAATATATATAATAATTAAGAATTCCATTCGCTTAAAACATAAATTACAGTACACATCAAATTGTAAGTGTTTTTTTCCTTTAATTTTTATTCTTGATATTTTATTGAGAAAATTATAGGTATTTTATTAAATTACACTTTTTCGTTGTTTGTTGTTGGGAAAATATTCAATTCTTTACTGTAATTATTTTCTTTTAACAAAGAAAATCTTAAATTGTTTCGTTTCTTGACTGTTAACAAATTAAAATTTATAAAATTAATAAACTTAATAAAATCAGCTTGAATCACATATTAATTCAAGCATTTTAAGAAATGTGATTCCGATACTGTATAAATAAATCTATATTTGGGTTCAGATTATTAGAAAGCTGATTTATATGATAGCAGGTACAAAAGATTGGTGTTTTATTTACAAAATTTTTATTTAGGATTTCTTGTGTCTTCTCCGTCGCACAGACAAAATTCTAAAACAACGAGAGGTTAATGTGAAACGTGCACATTAGGAATTTTTTCAGTTTAGTAGTAATCATACAGATTTCAAAGTACTACCATCATTTGACAAAGTGTTATCTCCGGGAAAATGGAATAAAACAAGATTATTCTTTCCGTCAATTCGATCAGCATGGTCATTAAAACAAACATTGGGTACTGAATTATAATCAATTTTTGTTGAACAGTTCGCCTCCGATTAATCAAGTCTCGCTTCGACAACAGTAAGACGCTTTGTCAAATTAACAACTCTGCTTTCCATATTCTTCTTTTTCTTCTTTAATGACTTTAGGCGTAACCATCTGTCAGAACATTAGCAGCGTATCATCGAGTTTATTGTTAATGTCTGACATATTTTAATACAAGAAGGAGAAGTTGTTAGACGCTGTCGAGGAAAAATCCTTAATAGCTCTCATAATACTATATCCGCAAGTTAACAGCTAAGTCCGTATATTACACGCAGTTTTTCTAAGGATATCAAATTAAGACGAAAAAACGTATATATGCAAAATTTTTGTTTAAATTATCTATATTTTCCTTAATCAGGGTTACTACAAAAATTTAATTTTGTTTTTCCCTGATTTTCAGACAAAATTTTATCTTTTTCCCTGACTCTAAAGAATCTTTTGATTCACTCTCAAAATAATTGTAAAATTATTCGAAAACATAACTTTATTTAAAATAAATATTTAACCATTGTTTTTTTTCCATAGGAATTAAAAATCCTTCAAAATTATTTTATCGTTTTTTCTGTGCAATTTTTACAACATGACAAAATTTAAACTTTACTTGGGACATCAATAAATGAAGTTAATATATCGTAAAAAGTAAAAAATGAACATAATCAGATCATTTAAAATTTTTTCAATCAAAACTAAAAAAAAAAAGAAATTTAAAAAAGACTATCGGTAAAATAATGACTCGATCAAGATGTCTGAATCGAGATTCTTATCATTTATGGCCGTGTATGATTAATTATGTATATATCATCCGATGGTTCATCGCTTTCATACTTTGTATTCCATCACGCGTTGATTTTCGCGTTAGATATTACATTGCAGTGCACTCTCTCTCTCTCTCTCTCTCACCTGCTGTCCGTCCCTTCTTCCCCTCCCCACCCCACTTTGCTTTCTCTCTCTCTCTCTCCTTTTTTTAGACGAGGGGGCCCGGTCCCCATTTTAAGCGCCTCACGCGGCGTTAGATCGTACGTTAGAGACAGCGATTGGCTCCTGTCGGATGCAGAGGTTGGACCCCTGCCCCATTGCGCTACGCCAGGGGGGCTAGCGTTGCAGTCGGGGGGGAATCTCGGGGCGTAGTGGAAATTACAGGAGAGGGCATCGACTAGTATTAAAAGGGGGGGGCATCTTGTGTGTGTATTTGTGCCTCTCCCTCTCTCACTTTATTTTTCTCTCTCTTTTTCTCTCACTAGATTTCTCTCTCTTTTCTTGTTTCTCTTTTTCACTTATTCGTTCTCTCTCTTTTCTTTCTCTTTTTCTCTCGTTAATTTTCTTTTTCTCTCCTTCGTTCTCTTTTTCTCATTCTCTCTCTCTCTCTCTTTCTTTTTTTTCTCTCCATCTTTTACTCTTTATCATTTTCTCCCTCTCTTTTTTTTGTTCTTTCTCTCTCTTTTTTTTAATCTTTTTCTTTCTTTCTCTTTTTCTAATTTTTCTTCCCTCTATAAATCTCTTCTTTATATGATTGTGGAAAGAAAGAGAAAGAGGAAAAAAGAAAAAAATATAAACAGTAGGAAAGTGAGAAAGAAAGATAAATAAAAAAATAGAGTGAAAAAGTTAGAGAAAGAGTAAAAAAGAATAAATAGTAAAAGTTTCTTTTACTATTTATTCTTTCTCTAACTTTTTCACTCTAATTTTTTATTTCTCTTTCTTTCTCACTTTCCTACTGTTTATCTTTTTCCCTTTTCTCCCTTTTTCTTTCTTTCTACATTCGTAGAAAGAAAAGATTCATAGAGGGAAAAAAAATTAGTAAATAAAAAAATAAATAAAGTCAATTTAGTAAAAAAATGAGAGAGAGAGAGAGAAATACAATTAGTAAAGAGAGAGAAAAAGAGAAAGATTAGTAGAGAAAGAGGGAGAGGCAGATTAGCAGAGAGAGAGAGAGAGAGAGAGAGAAAGGAGTGAGTTCACCACAAGCGGGAGCAACTGTGACGAACCCCGGATGGTGGGATCCGGATTAGGGAGAGGGGTGGGGTCCATACAGCATCCTTGCCGCGGATCAGCCCCGACCAGGCAGAACGAGGCGAAGCGACCGAACGGGTCCCGAACCGGCACCCAACTCGTATAGTCTCGGTCCGTGGGCCCCCGATGGGTCCCAACACTTGCACCTCTTCAGTCTTTCGCCGTCGTTCCAAAGAGCAAGGTCGGATTTCGCGAATTCTTCTCATCTCATTTTGCCCGAAATAACAAATCGCGATCAATAATTACTAAACGAGAATTTTTTTTCAAAATAATTAAACAAGTGCGACAAATTTTTTTTTAAAGTGTACACACATATCAAAAAAATTAAAAGTGCTTTAAAAATGGATTATGTGACTCGGGGAGAAAAAGAGAGAAAAAAAAATTTTTTTTTTGAAAGAAGGATGAAGTTGTTGGTGATCTGGGAGATTCAATGTTTTCCGGTGCGTGACGAGAGTACCGAGTGTAATCGCAATTTATTCACTATATTCGTTAAGGATACGGAATAGTGAATAAAGAGAAGGAAAGGGATGATGGTGTTTGGAGGAAGGGAGATAGAGAGAAGTATTGTGGGAGGGAAAAGGGGGAGGCAGGAGGAGAAGAAGAAGAAGAAGAAGGGTTGGGAGGGAGGGAGAGCAATGCAAAAAAATGGATTTATCAAGTTCCTGCGAGCGAGGCTGCAGAAACGGCGCGGAACGCGAGAGAAAGGCCGCCTTGTAACCGTGTATCGAGCGATCGATAAACAAACGTTCGACGAACCGTAATATCGAGGCGTGGACGCCCTCACGTTATATTGGCCGAGTCGAAAGTGCATCGCGACGACGAGAAGAGAAACAAAAAAAAGATTTTTTGTCATTTGAAAAAAAAAATTATCTTTAAAAACACATTCTCTCTCTCTTTCACTTTTTCCCAATGTTTTTTCCAATTTTCGAAAAATACCTATATTTACATTTTAATTTGATACTTGGTGGTGAAATTTGATTTTCTGAAGTAAAAAATTTGGGCTCATGGACTGATTGAATAATGCGAAGCAATTATTTTTGATAGAAATGTTAAAACGATGGTAATGGGAAAATTTTTTAAACCGACACTGAGAATCAGAGTAATGGCGGTAGTTAAATGCTACTGAAGATGGTAATAATTGCATACTAAGAATTACATCGAAATTGTATGTAGTAAAAATGATATTAAAATTGTGGTTTAAATAGTACAAAATTGTATTAAAATCTTCACTCCAGTGGTACTGTAAATAGAAGTGAAATTTGTGCTAATGAAAATAAAAATAGTACTGAGAATAATACTAAAATAGTACTGAATGTTATACTAAAATAGTACTGAATGTTATACTAAAATAGTACTGAATGTTATACTAAAATAGTACTGAATGTTATACTAAAATAGTACTGAATGTTGTACTAAAATATTATTCAATATTATACTAAAATAGTAATGAAAGCAATACAAAAATATTATTGAAAATAATAAAATTCAAATGAAAGTAA